CCCTTTTTCATCAGAAACGACTCTTCTGCGAGATCCTTCCTTGGGATTCTGCAAGGTTTTTTTAACGCCTACGAACTTCTCTACACACCTGCACTGCACCGTCCAAGCGCTTTTGATCGAGTAAAACCTATGAGCGACGTTGGGTGAGGGGTCGCTTCTGCCTCACTAGGGATTTTTCCGTTTCTTGATCTGCCTGGTTTCACGCGCTGCTTTATCTCGCGCTCTGCAGCAAAATTTTGGCCACTTCACCCATTTCGGTGCTGCACCCTGCACCATTGCTAATGGTAATTAACAGAATGCCCCCTCACTCGATTAGCGTAATAGTTTATTATCACCTTGCACTTTTTGAACGGACTCGGGGTGTGCTAGAAACTCATTGAAAACTCGGAAAACAGTTTGTGCTCATGTTCTTAACCTTTTGAATGTGAAAATAAGTTTTGCAGAGAAAAGAGCGAGTTTCATTCTGTAAATCCGTCCACATCTTCTATTCCTTACACGAATGGTAGCAGCAACGTGAATAGCGGCACAGGAAGTCCGTCTTCTGACAGTCCTGCCAAATGCGTCAAGGAGCACTGTAACACGAATGGTGAATCGAAGGAAGGGAGGAGTGAAAAACGCGACAAGTTGCCGAGAATTTCCAATAAGGTATGCTTCGGTTGCCCTTTTAAGGTCCGATTTCGATTGTGTTGCTCGGCCCATTTCTGTTTATCTTCTCTGTTTGTCTGTAGCTCTTTTGTTCAGCCGAAATGTGCGATTTCAGTTCCGAAAATATGTTATCGTTGATACGCATCCAAATGGTGGCGCTTCCATTCTGAGAACGGATTGGAATAACATTCGCAAAAATTTCGACACTGAAGAAAGGTTAGCAATTTTTCGGACATTTTGTCGGGTGGGAAAGCCATGTCGCACGAACACAAATGGGGTGTAGTAGGGTTCGTATGTGAATGGCGAGATTCTTGATAGCCCAGTAACGAGGAAAAGACACAAATCCGTCCAAAATGCCTTGGATTATGCCCCACCTGATCCAAGGTTGTATGAGGATACGATGGAGCGGATGTGTGCTTGCACGGGTTTTCACTTGTTGGTATCATGATCAAAACATTTCCTGTAGCCTGGGAAAGTTTTTGGAAAATACGACTTCTTCCCAGTTTCCTCCTTTGTTACGGCTTCCCCATCCCCGAACTATTTGGCTTTCCATGTCTGATTTGGCGTCCTGCTGACTTTTCCCTACTTCCTACCATTTTTTTTCCACTCCTTTGAAACTTCCAGTTTCTTCCGAAGGAAGTGTTGTGGGAGGGGGGATTTTCTTGCGACCCAGGAGGAATCTTATCAGAGGCAAGTACGATCGCCTCCCACTACCCACCAAGTACGACCTTCCTTGGTGACTCCCATAACGTAGTGGGGTCCTAATCATAACTGTATGAGTTTCTACACTTATCGCGTCGCTCTCGTCATTAGGCATGAAAAGAGCGAAGTGTAGGAATCGTCCCACGCCTTGTACCACGCACCCACACAGAACGTTGGGCGCGGTTAAGGCGGTGGGAGGAGCATTGACTCGTCACGATCGCATAGCGTGCTTATC